ATCATTATCAATTATCAATAATTGTTAATTATTTACTCATAAAACAAGCGCCCCAATCCCTCACCCCAGTTCTGTTGTGTGTGTTACCTTGGGAACCATAGATGCTCTTTTTCTATTAGTTCCAATGAGAGAAGTGTTGCTGCAAAACCAATTAAATTTGTAGAAAGATGGCATTGCTCCCTTTGGTTTTATGACAAAAAATACTGGGTGTCCCCCGAACTCTCAGAGTATTTTTCCTCTGGCAGTAGAAAGGCAAAGAGAAGCCATGCAAATAAAGAGGACATGGAAACTTCAGGAACACGTGATCTGGGCGAGGGTGGTGAGAGAAATGGTCTGTGAAAGACAGAAGAAGGGGATGGATGCTGTTATTGGCCTGTGGGTTTAAGCCAGTGATTACATTTGGCCCGTGAACAGAAAAGTACGTGTTTTCATATACCCTCAGTATATCCTCTCTCTCATAATTACTGCCAAGACCTAGAATTTCAAGACATGGCATGAAGTATTTCTAAAATGACAGAATTCTTTCTCACTTCAACTTTTTCCAGTGAAATGTTGTGATTGAAAACATTCCATATCAGTCTTTTATTCTACTCCAGAAGGGGGAAAAATCTGTGCCGATTACCCACTTCTGAGTCTAAGGAATCTTGAAATGAGCACCCTTTGGAACGAGAGTGATGGAAGCACCACGAGAACTCTGACCTCGTCGTTTTGCTGGGGGTGCGAGGGTGGCCCAGTTCCCAGCCAGCCATCATTCTGCCACACCGGGAGCTTGCCAACAGGGCACGCACCGGGTCACTTCATCCTCGGGAGGCAGAGCACAGCAAAAAGGAAGTGTTGGCAGGCCATCTTTCACGGCCTTCGTGCATCTTGAGACCCCCCACTGGGAATTTTCCAGTTTTTATTGGGTCCCACCAGATGTTCCCAGCTTGGCGCTCCGTATATCAGCCAGGACAAGGCCAGGAGAAAGTGGCTGTCTAAATGCTGCCAGTAAGTAAGGACCTGGCTCCTGAAGGCAGCCACTACTCATAGTGACCGTAACATCCAGGTAGAACGAGTGAGACTTCCCTGCTACAAGTGGGACTGGGAGGCATTCACAGTCATAGTAATGCACGCCACATGCATGCACACCACACACGCGTGCATACACATGCACAACTGTTTCTGGCAATGGAGAAAGTGTGGCTCTGGCCACCTGAGACCATGCGTTCCCAAGCCCAGTGATCATCACCTCCACGTGTAAGGAAGGTGGTAGGTAGGGATAAGGTCCAGAATGTATGTTCACTGCTGCTTTGGATCATGGACACCTGCTCGTCAAGTATCTTTGGCTAAAGATTTTCCTATGTAATTAGCAAATTTCTTAATTATACACTTAGATTTCAAGCTTATGCTGACCTTAAAGTATAACAAAATACTAATTAGATAAAGAGAAAAGGATCAAAAGAGAGTGCATGGCACAGAGCTCCAGAGGGGCTCTAAGCCATGGCTGGATGCAACAGAAGTGATTATTTCTCTGCGCTTCAGTTTCTTCACCTGTACAATGAAAATAATGTGCCTAATCACAGTTCTGAACTGTGCTGAGCACATGAGTGCCCAGTACATTTAGTTTATTGTTATCTTGGTGATGGCATTTTAAGAGCAATAACTCTACAAATGGATCATTACATACTAGAAATTTTGAAAAGGAATAATAATTAACAATTCAGAAATGTTATCTTAAAATCTCAGAAGTGTGCCTGTGTTTCCTACATGGAAGTAAATGAATGCTTAATATATGTGATGGTTTATTAACATTTGAAAATGAAATAAATTTAGTAAACAAACATTTATTGAGTACCCATAAGCGTCATGGAGAATGATGTAATAAGAATCCATAAGACATTGTCAACTTTAGGACCTTTACTTTTAGAATACAGCAGTGTAAGAAAAACAAGAAAGAATTGTTGAGCATTTTAGGAAGGCTATTCTGAGCAATGTAAGTATAATTACTATGTAACCTTACGTCTATGCTCTTAGAAAAGGTACTGATGAACACACTTGACTGAAGAATCTGCACTGAGAATATTTATTGTCCTGAACTATTTCAGTAAATACAGATTATTACTCAATTCCAAGTGCCCCACATATGTTCCTAGAGAATCAGAGCATAAAGTTAAATGTGACTGAAATGCTAAACATAATGTTAATAATCTGCTGAACGGGTCATGCTCCGGGCCACAGCTTTATACATAGATATTAGAGGAAATATTAAGCATCCTTCTCCGTGGTATTTCATAGCACTGACCTTAAATCGGCCATGAGAACAAACAGACAGCACTATAGACCTAAGGCCTTAAACAAATGTGAAATTTGTCATTAATTTGCAAGCAAATATCACTCAATAAAATTTGAAAATAATCACCCTGGGCTATTTCTAGTCAGTCAAATTGTGGTGATTCGCAGATGAAGTCTTCTCAAGGATGAGGGCATTTTAATGAATGGGGCATTTTTAGTATTTAAAAAATCATGGGAAAGAATGGGAGTAACATTGAAATGTTATTTCAGGTGTTGGTAATGATTTTCAACATGTTTTTGTTTCTCCGATCCATTTAGCGCTCTGTGAAAGGGGAGGGAGAAGCACCGGGGCCCCCGTTTTTCCTATAGAACAAGTGGGTGTGACACAGCTACTTCCACGTGTCCGGTTCCCAAGTGAGCAGGAGGTGCCGCTAAGGTTCTTCCAAGCTCTTCGGAAGGCATCCGTTCGCCAGCGTTCTGGAGTATCTGTGTGTTTGGGTCTGTCTTCTCCTTCTGTGTTTGACCTAGTTTTTAGGCACTTGGCCGATAATGTTTTCTTTCGTTCGTTCACTCATTCATTTGTCAGACGCATCTAGCTTCTCTACTTGATGCTCAGTGCTGTTGGGCGGGACCTTGTCGCAGCTTCCATTAGTATACGCGAGTTTTGTACATCTGTTTTCAAAAAAGTCTAAAAATCAGATTTGTTGCCTCAACTCTTAATCAAAGGAAATGGTGTATAAAAAATGAAATTAGTCCGGCCGGTGTGGCTCTGTGGTTGAGCATCAACCCCTGCACCAAGAGGTGGCTGGTTTGATTCCCAGTGAGGACACATGCCCAGGTTGTGGGCCTGATCCCCGGTGGGGGGGCGTGCTAGAGGCGGCCAGTTGATGTTCTCTCATCGATGTTTCTGTCTCTCTCTCCCTTTCCTTTCCTCTCTCGCTAAAGTCAATAAAGAAAAATAAATAAATAAATAAAAGGTAAATACTGATTTAAAAAAAAGAAATGAAATGATTGGAAGTGATTGAAATTTTAAAATTATTTCACTGATGTTAAAATCCTTAAAAAATAGGAATTATATCTTGTTCATCTTTTAAGCTCATTCTGATATTTAATGAATGTGTGGCAGATGTCTCTTGTTGGCTAGTGGTTTTATCTGCATTGGTAAGTGTTTCTGTGGCGAATGTGGTAAATATTCATGGCTGTAATTGTAAACATGAATGGTTACTTTTAAAATCGAGTCAGTTGGTGTGGCATAGCCATACCCTGTCTTAAAGTTATATCCTGTAAATTCCTCACAGATGTTAGAGCTAAGGCGTAGGTGTCTGGGTCTTCAAGAATTTTTAAGTTCTTTTAAAAAAAAAAAAAAGGAAAACCTTCTAGTTGCAAAGTGATTTATTGCCATAGCTCTAAGTTTTGGACTTTCTCTTCTTTTTATTCATTCATTAATCTTACCTGTCTATTCATCTTCCCATCCACCACCGTCCACCCCAGCCCTCCACCACCTTCCCGTATTCCCTCCGGCTTCTCATTCTTTCCCGCTGCACTCTCTCTCCAAAGTCGTGGAGAGACGTGTGAAAGAAAGACAGTTGCTGTTAAAATTAGTACTGCCTCTTTGGTTTTAACTAAGATGAACACAGTGTTTACTGACCTGGTACTTTTAGTCGTAAACAGGGCGTTGTTGGTAACCATGCTGGGAAAATAAGCATAAGCCAGGGCTGTTCTGGGTACATCAGAACATATATATGGTCACCTGTGCATAGTATGTTCTCCTAAAAATCTAAAGTAGGATTCTTATGTAGTAGTGTGGTATTTTTTTAGTTCTAGGCTATAAGAAAGGAGAATGTTTTCTTTATATTAAAAACAGACAGGAACAGATTTTCAAAGATTGTATTTCGTGTATATCACTGTAACATGCACCTGAATCTTCTGCAGCAGCAATTCCTGTGCATTTCCTAGTTGGCTGTCCGGTTCGGAATCAAGGAGATATGTGATTTTTTCCCATTTGTTACTCTGCTTCGGGCTTGACTGCTCTCCCATTCCCCCCAGTGGAAACCTATAGATCACTTTCACTGGGCATAGCACTTAACCAAGGTGCACAGAGACTCCCAAAGAGGAGGAGCACCCAGTCTTCGCGTTCTTACAGTCCACAGTATAGCGGGGGACGCACGAAGGCCTCCTTCGCATAAGCAAGCGATTGCGCAGGGACCACAGGAAGAGTAAGAGGCACCGAAGGAGACGGGGGAAGGGGCTGGGGAGACCTTATTAGAGGGAACAGACGGCACCAAAACACGGCTCAGCCAGGCCATCCCGGTGCTTGTGGGCAACCCTGGGTGGATAACAGGTAGGATCAGCAGGCTTACATAAGGTTTAGTTGAGGCATAGGTAATGTATTAGCCTATGAAATTATTTCTCTCTCCTCTGAACCTATGTCTCAATTATATCAGACTTGCCGTGTGATCTCGGGCAGATCTCTTAACCCATCTGGTCTCCGTTTCTTCATTATAAAGTGAGAATCACAATAATATCTACTCATAGAATCGTTAAATTGATTAATTTATATAAAGCCTTGGGACAGTGCCCAATACTGGAAAAATTTTGAAAAGGTGCTCTTTCTATCAGTATTGTAAGTCGTCTTTGAAGGCAAGTCGGTGTTTTATTGTAGTTTACCTCATGTAGTGTATCCCTGTAGTGATTTTCATGTGCTCTGATGGCTTACAAATCTTTTACAGCCCGGAAGTCAAAGAAGTTGGGAAAGTTAAAAGGGATTCACGAGGAACAGCAGCAGCAGCCCCCACCGCCACCCCCGCCGCCCCAGAGCCCCGAGGAAGGGACGACGTACATCGCGCCCGCCAAAGAGCCCTCCGTCAACACGGCGCTGGTCCCGCAGCTGTCCAGCATCTCCCGAGCGCTCACGCCCTCCCCGGTGATGGTCCTGGAGAACATCGAGCCCGAGATCGTGTACGCGGGCTACGACAGCTCCAAGCCAGACACCGCCGAAAACCTGCTCTCCACGCTGAACCGCCTGGCGGGCAAACAGATGATTCAAGTTGTGAAGTGGGCAAAGGTAATTCCAGGTAGGATTGCCTCTCCTTCCACGGTCTGCGCCCTGAACCAGACAGGTCAGGGCAACCCCGGCACCATCCCCAACAGTGGTCGGAGCGAGCTTTCCCTTAAATCCTGATAGCTTCTTTTAAAATGGGTATCAGATTGAACAGGTGTGTGGCAGAAATCTGGTTAGTGTGCTCATGCCTCCTGAGCAGTTCCAGTGAAGGGTTCTCATGTTAACATATCATACATTCCTTGTGTGGATGATTGCGATGAAAAGTCCACCCCAGAATATGGGTAAGATAAAATACATTCTGGTCCTGAAAGCAGAAACTGAGCCCGTTACTAGCAGCTTGTGACCAGGGCTGGTCTAACCCAGACCAAGTAAACCCAGACCTGTCTAGTAGGTTGTGTGAGCCCCTGAAAATCTGTTCCTTCAAAAAATATCATCTTACCTCCAGCACTCTTTAAATTGGCTTTGAAATTCCTACTTTAGTCATTTCTTATGCTATAGGATTTTACTAGTAAAGTACCTACTGATCTGCACAAACACCACTTAGAATTGCTGCCACATTATCCCAGTTCCTTTATCCAGAGCAGTTTTGTAAATGATGTAGGTCAACCAGCAGCCATAAGAAAACAGACAGGGAGAAGCTCTGATGACTGGTTCTTCGAGGAGCTTCCCCGGGCAAAACTCTACAAATGAAGAAGAACCTGCTGTCACTGGGAATACGGGCCAGGAAAGGGAACAAAGAAGGCTGCAGCCCAGAGAGGAGGCCTGCGGTGGGGGCAGGGCGCCAGGCTGCTTATCCCATTTCCGAACCTGTCGGGGTCCCGGGGTCCCGTAGGACCCCAGACCCTGGGAAGCAAGGAAGAAGGCTTTGTCAACCACTGCAAGCTCATGGAAAGTGAAACCTTCCAGTATTGCAGATACGCAGTAGTTGATGGTTATTAAATTACCCTTTATGTCAGTGTTATTAATTGGGAGTAAGATGAAGAAGTGTTGCAGGTTAATACAGATTCTTGCAGGCTAACCAAGGGTCGTAGACCATTGTCCACAGGGAAACGCCCTGAACTCCAGGTTACATTTGCCCTGGCCGGTCACCCTCAGTGAGAATTTAGGGTGAATTGAAATGAAGGGTAGAACAGGGCCAGGCCCAGGGTGGGTGCCCTGTAAATGACTGGAGTCTACTGGGGTCTGTTAGAGAGAAGTGGCTGTTTGGGGGTTGACTTAAGAAGCTTATTCCTGGAATGTACTTAAATGCTAAGTGTATTTCTGTGTTTAATCGTTCTGTTCTTCAGGATTTAAAAACTTGCCTCTCGAGGACCAAATCACCCTCATCCAGTATTCTTGGATGTGTCTGTCGTCGTTTGCCTTGAGCTGGAGGTCTTACAAACATACGAACAGCCAGTTTCTCTACTTTGCACCAGACCTGGTCTTTAATGAGTGAGTACCTGTTCATGAGCCTTCATAAAACAAATTGCAATGATTTGTTATGCTTTTTTATGATTTCTAAACAGATATATATTTTTAAGTGTAAAAATAATCTATCATTTGAGAATTTAAAAATTGCTTTTCACCAAATTATCATGCACATGCCTGAGTATATATAAGTCGGTATATATAAATCTCACATAATAGTATGTGGGAATTGTCCCAAAAGAAAGATGATCCAGTTGGCTCCAAAAACTTGCCTGGTACAAAGCCACGATTAATAGAAAACAGCCTCTTTTGGTATCTACTTCAGTTGAGAAGACTGTCTAATTTCTAGGAAGTGTGAATGTATAAAGTGCCGGTCTCTGTGCGCATTAATATAATGGTTCTTTTGTTAACAGTATACAGCTGCTCAATGCGTTTTCATGACAATCATAATTATTCGTCTTTGTACTCATAAGAGAAGCCAAAATGTTATTCTGCAGTGAAACATTTTTAGTTTTATGATGCATTTTAAAAGATTGAAAGATTCACAATAGGTTTTTCTTTAGCCATGAATTCCTTCCTATGTTTTAAGTTTACATTTTAATACTGTTTGTATTGCACATTAGCACATTTCATCTGTTTATATCCAGCGGTGCTTCTTTGTAATTGTTGGGTCAAGAAATACAGAAAATAAAAAGGCATGTTTGAATTATGGAGTGACCCACAGCCGTATTCTAACACAGATGGCTCTCTCTAGAGATATGAAAATAGGGATTTCCAGTGGGGAAGGAAGCAGATGAGAAATAGATTGATGATCAAAGAAACAAAAGCAGTGGAAAGATGAAAAGTGGACACCCAGTGCCAAGACACTGAAATAGTACCAGTCCTGATTTACCTAAGAGTACTGGTTCACCCAAACATGGCGAGCCGCAGACGACTTGATTCCAAGATAAATCAGGAACATCAGTCGTTGGTTCTCAAGGTGACCCTTCTTTTGGCAATGGCAAAGAATAATTCCACCACTGCGTGCATTTTCACCAAAGGCATGAAGTGAGGCCAAACAACTAACATGCACGTTTTAATTTACTTGTTTTCCTCAATAGTCTGTTGATATTATTAAATAATAAACCTGCTTTAAAATATGGTTTACAAACCCAAAGAAAGACATAGTGAGGAGAGCCTTTCCTTTAGAAGGATGTGGGTAAATAAGAATCTGTGTTAGTTTCATCCAGTGCATGTCCATCTCATTTTATCAGAAGATTAAAATGAGCCATTTAATTTTATTTAGTACATAAATTTTTGTCGTAAAATATATGCAACAAAATTCTCCATTTTAATCGTTTTACGTGTGTGGTGCAGGGGCCCTACTTGCTTTCACTTTGCTGTACAACCATCACCACTGCCCGTCTCCCGTTCTTTTCATCATTCTTAGCGGACACTCAGATCCCACGAAGCAATAATTACACATTTGCCCTTCCCCCAAACCCTGATAACCTCTACCCTATGAACTTGCCTGTTCTAGGTATTGCATATAAGTGGAATCATACAAAATGTGTCCTTTTGCAACTGGCTTATTTCACTTAGCACATCTTCAACGTCCACCCTTATTGCAGCATGTGTCAGAATTCCATTTTTGTTCAGAGATTGTGTGTCTGTGAATTCGCCTCCATCTGCATTTATTTGTAACCCTAGTGTCAACCCTTATAGCTCTTCTGGGCTTGTTTGCAGGCATGCAGAGAGGAGGCAATGAATGGAAGTCACCCAGAGTGCGTTTCAGCTGAGACTGCCATCCTGTTTCAGCTCTCATGTCATAAACAGGTGTCCTTTGCGTAGTCTGTTTAGTGCCACGGTTTTGCATTGTGCTTTTTGTGGGCGATTTCACTGTTTAAAATGACTCCCAAGGGTAGTGCTGAAGTCTAGTATTCCTAAGAGCAAGAAGGCTGCGATGTACCTTAGGGAGAAAATGCAGGTGTTAGGTAAGTTTCTTTCAGGCATGAGGTATAGTGCTGTTGGTGGTGAGTTTAACATTAAGGAATCAACAATATATGTTAATAAGGTGTCTTTAACAGAAATACACATAAAACAAGGTTATGTACAGATCAGTTGATGAAAACGTTACTACCGTTGACTCTTGAGAACAGAATCCTCTAATTCCCCTATAAGGGGCAGTTCTGTATTCTCCAATTCTGTCTTTGCTGCGACTTTCTAGAACATAGTACCTGATTTATTTTTACCAGATAAAAAGACTTGGCCACATTTTGTTTATTCATTTATCTGTTGATGGACATTTGTGTTGTTTTCACCTTTGCCTGTTGAGAATATAGCTGCTATCAATATTTGCAGGTAAGTATATTATTTGAATCCCTGCTTTCATTTCTTTTGGGTCTATACCCATAAGTGGAACTGCTGGGTCACATGGTAATTCTATATTTAACTTCTGAGGAACCACAAAGCTTTCCCACAGCAGTTGTACCGTTTAACATGCCCAGTGATGTAACAAGAGTTCCGAAGTCCCCCACCTCCCTGCCAAAGCCAATTTTCTCTTTTGTTTCTTTAATAGCTATACTAGTAGGTGAGGAGCGTTGTTGGGGGGGAGGGGGTTGAAATATGTTTAATATATAACATCATATACATTTAATGTCTACAACATGTTGATCTGATACATTTACACACTGTGGTATGTGCGCCAGGATAGAGCACCTCTGTCATGTCACATAATTATCATTTCTTTTTTTGTGTGGTGGGAACCATTCAAATCTAGTCCCTTGGAGCAAGTCCGATGATTATGATACAATATGGTCTGTATTCACTATACTGTGCAGCAGATCTCTGGGACTTATTAGTCTAGTAGTTACAAGTTTGTACCTTTAAACAGCATCTCTCCCATCCTCCCACCCCGAGCCCCTGACGACCACCATTCTACTCTGTTTTTACAAGTTTGGCTGTTTTAGGTTCTACGTATAAGGGATATCTCCCTGTATGTGCTTTCTCTATCTGATGTGTCTCTTCGTAGGTGTGAAGTGGCATCTCCTTGTGGTTTTGGTTTGCAGTTCCTTAGTGCTGGGAATCTTTCATGTGCTTATTGGCTATTTGGATGTCGTCTTTGAAGAAATGTCCAGTCACCCTGGCTGGTTTGGCTCAGCGGTTAGAGCGTGAGCCCGCGGACCGGAGAGTACCGGGTTCGGTTCCCACTACGTACCTCAGTTGCAGTTTGTCCCTGGCCCCGGTTGGGGTCATGTGGGTGGCAGCCACTCAATGTGTCTTTCTCACATCAATGTTTCTCTCTCTTTCTCCCTCTTTCCCTCCTGCTCTATCTGAAGATAGATGCAAAAATGTCCTCGGGTGAGGATTAAAAAAAAGAAATGTTCAGTCAAGTCTTTTGCCCATTTTTAATCGGGTTGTTTGACTTTTTGTAGGAATTCTTTATATATTCTCGATATTAAACCCTTATCAGAAAAATGATTAGTAAATTTCTCCCACTCTGTAGGTTGTCTTTTCATGCACTTGATAATATATTTTGATGCACTTTTAAAATTGAAGTTTTTAACTTTAATGAAGTCCATTTTATTTATTTTGTTATTTATGTTATCTATTAATTTTTATTTGTGTGCAAATATCCAAGTTTATAGTTCCAAACAAAAATGAAACTGAGGAGAAAGCACCTTATATTTGAAGCCTGGGAGAATTGATGTCATTAAAAAGTTCGAGAAATAATAAACCAAAATGAGAAAAAGAAAAGATCATATAAGCTTTTTATTCATTTACTTGTTACCAGAAAAAATGGAACCAATAAAATATATTTTTAATATTATAGATAGTTTAAGTGTTATGATATTATATAATATTTGAATGAAAACTTTGTTTCTTAAAACTTTTGACCTCAACCCGAACCTAGACTTTTATAAGTTTTCTGTCAACCAGAAAGAATAGGGTGGAGCTGTCTTTTTCAAAGGGCTGGGTGCGGGGGAAGGCTACGCCCAGGGGACATTTGGAAGTGACAGAAAGCCTTTCAGAGGGAGCGGGGTGCAGTAGCTCTGTTACAGGGTGCTCTCACAGATCCTGCATCTTTTAGGGAAACTAAAGTTACAGAGGGTGGCCTGCAACCAAAGTCTGAACGTGGATGCATGCTCTACCCTGCATTTATTCAGTGTTCTAAGCAGTGGAACCTAACAGTCTAATGGGGAGGAAGAAATTATTCAAAGAATTCCAAAGTTTTTATTATGATAAGTATTGAAAGGAAAATTGCTTTGAGGGCAAGCTGTTTATGGGAGGTGCTTATCTAGTCAGGAAAGGCTTCCCTGGATTGACTAAGCTAGTGTCAACCAGATGAAGGACGTATGGGAGGAGGGCAGCTGATTTACGCTGAGGCACCGGCATGTGCAAAGGCCCGGTGGTAGGAAGGGCCTGAACGCAAGGCATTGTAAAGATGGACACGGAGAGACATGCAAAGATGTTGAAAGGTACAATCAACAGGAGTTGCTGGTGGTTGGATTCTGGTGGAGTTTGAAGGGGAGGAAGAAGTCAAGGTCTAGGATGACTTCCAGGCCTCTGCCGTTTGGAAGGAAAGAGTAAGGGAGGTCAATTTTGGATATGCTAAGGTTGAATTGTCTTTGAAACATCATCCAAGAGGAAATATTAAAGAGGCAGTTATTTATACATATCAGAAACTTAGAGAGGTCCAGACCAAAGGAACACATTTTGAGCACAGTATAGAGGTGGAGGTTAAGGAAGGAAAGGCAGGGGAGTGTATGTCATAGATCCCAAGGAAAGAGGACCTTCGGAAAGAAAGCACAGTTCCCAATGTTAAATCATCTCCAGGGAGATGTGAACTGGAAGTCTCAAAGCAGGCGTCCCTCACTGCCCCCCAGCACCGTGCACATCCGTCTCTGCTGAGCGTGTCTCTTGGCCAGACCCCTCCCCCACGTGAGGAAGCAGTCTGGCATTTTGTGCAAGGGAGTACTGTATGCCATTCAGCTGAGGGTAGAGTGCTGATGTGGTCCTCCCCAGCCCTCGGCTGTTTGAGACCA